AAAAACCCTCCTTGGCAAAAAAAAATCAAAAATATTATTGTTTTTGTTTCTCAATTCGATTTTGTCTTTTTTTTTGGGTTTCAGATCTCTGTAAGCATTCTGTTGATGGATCCACCACGATATATCATATATTCGAATGGAGTGTTACCATTATCGGACCTCCACTATCCTTCTACCCTAACTTTGGTAATTGCCTTTGTTAATTGTCTTTCAATACCAACTATACGGTTTCAAACCTCAACACACATAGATCCACTTGATATGTAAAAGGATAGGAATAGGATTATAGATATCTGATTTTTCTACATGATGTTTTTTTTTCTTCCAAATCTCTCTAGACTAATTGAAAATTTTCTATTGGGGAATATTTGAAAAAATATGGTCTTCTCCATCTTAATTCACAGCATTATCGAATTTTTTTCTAATTTTAGTTTTCACATAATCACAAAAACCATCCATTTTCTTAGATGGGTCTCTTCTCTTCCTAAGAGCTCTGCAAAATTCACCGAAAAAGATGTCATATGTTCACGGGAGACTCATCTTAGGATATGTGTATAGTTTTTGCGATTATGTGAAAAATAAAGTCTCTTTCCATGGTACTAACCTAATTCCAAAGAATGAAGAAAAAGTTTGATAATGCTGTGAAAAAGGTGGAGAATTCCATATTGTATTTTCCAAATGTTCCGACCAGAAAGCTTTCGATTTGTCTAGAGTGATTTTGGGAAACAACCGTATTTCGATTCACTAAAGCAATAGATGTTACATTCTCTGCCTTGTCCTCCTTTTTGGCTTTGGAAAAAGTGGAAAAAATCAGATATATTCATATATTATTCTTTTACAAGGCAGAGAATGTAACATCTATTGCTTTTGCTTTAGTGAATCGACCTTGCATGCACGTTGGGATATGGTTGCTGTCGAAACAAAGAAGAAAGGTACGGAGATACAAATGAAGAAGATCAAAGCATACCAAGTGGAGCTATTTTTGTTGAGGTCCGAAACAATGTTCTTCCTTATGTTTGTTCAAACAATGATGTAATCAATATATTACATTGGAACAGATTTTCTTTGCATTTCCATCTGTTTAGAAGAGAATGAAATTGCTATGCCTTGTCTCAACATATAGTTGCCAAAGATTCTTGTGTTGTGCATATGGTTTTCAAAACTTTTTTAATGTAGTGAAGGGGGATTCTCTAACGCCATTATGACCTTCCCGCAAAATTAACCTAACAGGCCAACAATAAGGTTTACTTAAGAGATATGTGGCATCCTAATGGTAAGTTTGTCTCGAACGGTTTGCCTAGAAAGTAAAATGAATTGAAGACATATTTCTCCATCTTTTTATCAGTCCTTTGCTTGAATGGTTTTGTTTATGTCCCGCAGTTTATTCTGATGGCCGTGTTTGCATATCTATTCTTCATCCTCCCGGTGATGATCCAAGCGGTTATGAGCTTGCAAGCGAACGCTGGACCCCCTGTTCATACGGTATGTTAAAATGATTTTGAGATTGTTAATCTTTCTCTGCTTAATATCTCAGTGTTTCACTACAGAGTAGTAGATTCCACTATTAGTGTTTCCAGACTTGACAAACTCTAAATAGATCTCTAGATGAAATAAATTCTGTTGCCTCTAGGTGAAAGTATTGTGTTCCAACGATGAGTCTCCAGCAAACGTTGAAGCTGCTGTGAATATTTCAATTGATTATAGGTCTCATCAGATTCACTGCATATTCCTTTTTGCAATTAAGAGCAGTTCTTTTGAGTTTTGTGTGTTTCTCTTGTGTGGCGAGAGAAGAGAGACGAGTTCAAGAAGAAATTAAGCCGTTGTGTCAAAAAGTCTCAAGAAATGTTGTGATCAGTTTCAAAACTTGACACCTCTGAGATCTCTATAGTTTCATCAAAGTTTTTCATATTCCTATCTTGTTATGATCCGTTCTACATCTTTTTTTTTTCTTGTGTGCGAGAACCAGAACGTTTTGAAAAGTGTTTGGTTGAGAAAAGTGTTGTTCTTGAGATATTTTATAAGAATGCTTCCTTGTTCAGAATCTTTAATGTCAGGAATGTTTTTTGCTCTGGTCTCTGTTTTTGCACTTCGCAGTGTTTTTGTTCCATACGTTGAACTACGTGCTGTTTTATGCGCTTCAAATGACATTGTTTTCATATCACACACCTTGCCTGTTTACTTTATCCGACAAAAAATCGGCGTGCAGTTCCGCTTTCAAAGTATATGAACGGCGTGATGTTCACTTCGTTGCCGGTTTACTACGAACCGATTATGGGTTGTAAGATTGAAACCACGTGCTTTGTCTTTGATAAAACGTAACTCGTACTCTAGTTTAGTTGGTGTTAACCAAAAGTAAGTCTTACTCAATTGGACAAATGAGTTTGTTGATGGATATAATTATTTGGCGTCTTCTAGTTTTCTTATAGTCTATTACAATCTTGAAGACCCTTAATATGTTTTTCTTCCCATATATATGTTTTATGAGATTGTCCCTTTTATTTT